AAAAAAAAAAAAAAAAACAAAAACAAAAAACACGAATGGGATTTCTCAGTGTTATTTCCACAGAGTAGAAATCTAACTTCAATTTTTTAAAAACTAATGATTTTGGTGCAGGGGGTAAAATCAGGAGAAATGGAGTAGAGCTCTCGAAAAGCTTTGAAGCACACAAAAGAACTATCCAGCAACTTTACTCACATATTTCATTGAGTTCAGTAATCGATCCATGGTGGTATTAATGGAAGGGGTGCCCTTTTACTGTTTAATTTGGACCAAAGACGTGTAGTCTACATCTTAAACTAAATGAGGGTCACCACACTAAAGAAGAACGATGCGCAATACGAATATTCTTCATGCACTACTCACCTGACTGTATCATCGACCGTTGCTGTAACATGCAAATCCAAAGCTTCTTCTGGCTGAATAACTCCTTGTGAAGGCTGCACCGAAAAAAGGGAATTTGGACGAATCTGCAGGACAAAACAAAAAGAACATGACTTGTGCGATTCTATCAAAGTGCTTTGCAACTCCATAAAAACACAGGAAATCAAGGGATATTCGGCTGCGAACTAGAGTCATAAGATTAATGTCGAATGTATTTGATGGCATGCACTGTTAATGTTTCAACACTATGGTCGTGAGTTCAACTCTCGGATCCGCCATCATCTGCATCTCGCGCTGAGGTAGTACCCTTGCCTCCCATTTTTGGGATCTAGGGTTCGATTCCTGTACTCGGCATCACATGCGAGTTGAGTTTGTTATGTCTATCCCTATATTTGGGGTTTCTTCTCCGCAAAACTTAACAACCTAGATTCCAATTTGATGTGTGGCTTAGCCGTGCCCTGAATTTGATCAGCCCACATATTTGAACTTTCTGTTGGGTGTTATTATCTATTCCCCACTCACGCAACAGATAGATATGTTTCTCGGTAGGTGATATCCTTACCATGGTGCACGAAAACTGGGCAGGTATGAGGGACTCGTTAGACAGTCTGATAGTCCTGATGACGTCATTGAGTACAGGGATGGTACCGTAATCAATATGTGTTGGTGTCACGTGGACTACTGGTCCCTCACCAACACATTTTACTTGCACAACCTACAATGAATGGAATAATTTACGTTAGTCAGTCATGAGGTTGGCACTAATTGGATCGGGGACACACAGGGAGCGAATATTGCGTGCAAGGTTGTTAGCGTTAGAGTTTTCAAGCGGTATAGCTGCGGTACCAGGAAAAGTTGCATCTATTTGGCTGAAACATGACGTCTATTTTGCAGACCTCTTCATAAGATAAAACTCACCAAGGGTTGTTCACTACTTCCAAATATCATGAAGTAAGCCATTGTTTGAACTTCTTCCAGGCACTCGGCAGTGATTTGGAGAGGAATCTCTTTGACTGACCTCGGGTGGATGACGCCCTGAAATACCAACGTGCATCATTAATGTCAACATCAACATCATCATCAACATCAGCATCAATGGTATCATTATCTTCATCACCATCATTGTCAGAGTTATCATCATACTCAACTACAACACCATTGTCATCCTCAACATCATTATCAACGTTAGCAGTAGCATCGATGCTATCATTATCTTCATCACCATCATTGTCAGTTATCATCATATTCAACTGCAACACCATTGTCATCCTCAACATCATTATCAACATTAGCAGTAGCATCAATGCTATCATCATCATCATCATTGTCATAGTTATCATCATACTCAACTACGACATCATTGCCATCCTCAACATCATTATCAACATTAGCAGTAGCATCAATGCTATCATCATCATCATCATTGTCATAGTTATCATCATACTCAACTACGACATCATTGCCATCCTCAACATCATCATCAACAATAGCAACAGCATCAATGCTCATCCTCACCATCATTGTTATAGTTTTATATTGGCATATTGGCATCATGCAACAATGTCATTAACATCATCATCATAGTTTTCATCACTATGAACCATCAACATCATTAATGAAATCATCATCACCAATCATCATCAACGAAACATCCCTTTCATTTACGTCATGTCATCATCATCATCAAGGTCATCATCATCAAGGTCATCATCATCAAGGTCATAATCATCACCACACTAAACAATCAACTATATTGGAGTCATCATCATCAACGTCGATACCAACGACATCATAATCATCGCAATATCAATACAGCAAGGTGTACCTTTGGCTCTGTGCTTGAGTATAGTATTGGCGTCATGTCATCTACAACCTGTAAAAACGATAGAATTAATTGAAAGAGGAATGTGGGTAGGGAGCTCAACTCTCTTCTAAATTAAGTGCAACATAAAGTGTATTTCAACTGGAGCATTATGGCTAAAATAGAAAACCTTGTTAAGCAATAAGGTCTCCTATAACAAATAGGATCATAATGAAGACAAAGGACCAAAGCTTACTTGTGCCAGGAGTTCGTACTTGGCAGGTAGATCTGACTCGTTGACAAGCTGTACTGGAAGCTCATACGGATGATGAAGGAAGCACCTTCCATAGYCTAGTATTGGTGTGTGTAGTAAGATGGGAGGTACAACACACCTATACACAACAAGATGAATGATTAAGCAAGATTACTAGAAGATCAATTAGTGAGCTGGATGGATACTGTATAGAGACACCGCCCAATATAACTATATGGCCGTGAGAAGGGAGACAAGGGGAAAAAGTACTGATACAAAGCCAGATTAACTGAAAAATGAATTTAGACATTTAAGTGTATTACTTACCTTGCAATTATGGGAAGTGACAAAATCTCCTCTCCCACCCCCTCTACGTCTACAACCAATGAAATGTCGTACTTCTTGACTGTTGTAGATACAAAGTCGACCTTGAAAGAGAACCAGGAAAAGAAAAGTTAATCACGAAGTAAAGCAAGAAAGCAGTGTGAAGTAACATCACATGCACACCTAAACGAATTAAAAAAAAGATAAAATCTCATTCAAATTGGGTGGGGGCGTGTGATTCAGGAGATTGAACAGCATCCCTTTACAAAACCTCCACAATACCCAAATATTACGACCAGCCTCCTCCTCCTCCGCTCCTTCTAAACAGACACGCCCTGCCTATGTCCCCACTCCTTCATAAACCTTGTGCCACCAGAACTGTACTTACGTTGATGGTCATCTCATCCTGAGGAGCAATAGTACCAGCACAAGGAGTGATATCGAACTCTTTGAGAGAAGCCATAACAGTACTGCCCGAGTCTGTGATATTACTATCGATAAGGCTATCAGTGTATCCATTGGAAACCGCTTCTCTTGCTCCACCATCGGCTGGTACACGTAGGGAAAACGTCATGGGGATCAGGGAAGTGTTGACCAGTTTGAAGCGACGAGAATTTACAAATCCTACGAAGAAAGAAAAAAGTCGATTTGGATCTTTATTGTGCCAGCAATAAGCCACATCTCATCCCTGTGGCGATGGGTTCGATTCTTCGACCCGCCATTACTTTTGAGTAGATGTGTTTGTCGGTTCTCCGCTCTTGCGATTTGAGGGTTTTTCTCCACGTTCTTTGGTTTCCCCTCTCAACAAAAATGAACACATTCCAATTCCAATAGACCTCTAGCTTGGGCATAATGCCATTCTCTCAAAAATTGGATTCTTTGTTTGAGTTGTGTCGATATTCATGTGTCTTCTCATACGCAAACGTTAAACAAGGAAATTATACCCTACACAATTCCAATAGAGTCCTATATGGGACATAATGTCATTCTCTCATAAATAAGTTTCTTTGTTTGAATTGTGTTCATATTTTCCGGTGTCTTGTTATGTGCAACCGTGAAACATTATACCCTTGGGAAAATGTGGTCTGAAATGGGGAAACGTTACACCCAAGTTAAAGAGGTCTATTCGATTATGGAACGGGGAGTACGGGTGTATTGATCAAAAAGCGATGAAAATGTTACAATGGTGCAATAAAGAAGACAGACACCCGAGAAACCATTAGTCCAGACGCTGGCCCCTCCTTTGACCATTGCGCTTTTGTTGTGAGGTCAAAGGAGGTGCCAGCACCTGGACTAAGAAACTATATGCTTACCATATGACACAGTGCCAAACTTAAGCTTTGGTATATCGAAGTGAAAAGTTGGTCCGATAACTGTACCACTGTAAACAAATCATTTAAAATAATCATTTATAACATATCTTAAATAATAATAGTAATTAAAAGTGTATATAATAAAAATATTTATTAACTCGTAAAGCGCCAATATCAATATACATTTTCATTTTCATAATAATTTGCAAGCTTGGAATGGTTAAAAAGCGCGCACAAGAGGGTAGTTAAAACTCGAAGGACTGCGTGATGATGTGATTGGGGAATGGGGTGTGGTGTATTTCAGCTAAGGACTGCGTGATGATGTGATGGGGGAATGGGGTGTGGTGTATTTCAGCTAAGGACTGCGTGATGA